GAAGGTTCCTGAGGAGCAGGAAAGGGTGAAGAACTTCCGAAAAGCTTACGGAGCAACCAAGTTCGGCCACGTCACAGTTGACATGATGTATGGAGGTATGTGTGGCATCAAGGGGTTGGTGTGCGAGACATCTGTTCTTGATCCTGACGAGGGAATCCGTTTCCGTGGTTACTCAATTCCCGAATGTCAGAAACTACTTCCTAAGGCCAAGGGTGTGTTCTGGCTGCTCATCATTGGACAAGTTCCAAATCAAGCTCAGGTGCAAGCAGCCTCAAAGGAGTGGGCAAAACGTGCAGCTCTACCAACACACGTGGCGACAGTGTTGTACAACTTCCCTTCTACCCTGCATCCCATGTCGTAGTTGAGCAGTGCCATTACAGCAGGAAGTTCGGTGAGCAATTTTGCCCGGGCATACTCCTCTGGAGTACACAAATCGAAATACTGGGAGTATGTTTACGAAGACGCGATGGATCTAATCGCAAAACTCCCCGTCGTAGCAGCGACCATCTACCGCAACACGTACCGTCATGGTAAGGGCGCTGGGGCCATCGATGCCAGCAAGGACTGGAGTCAAAACTTCTCTCAGATGCTGGACTATGATAAACCAGAGTTTACAGAACTCATGAGATTGTACCTCACAATCCACAGCGATCACGAGGGAGGCAATGTGAGTGCCCACACTGTTCACCTCGTTGGCTCGGCGTTGTCGGACTCGTACCTCTCATTTGCAGCTGGTATGGATGGCCTCGCAGACCCTCTTCACGGTTCAGCGAATCAGGAGGTATTAATATTCCTCAAGAAACTGCAGAAAGAGTTGGGTGACAACGCGTCAGACGATGCAGTGAAAGAGTTCATCTGGAGAACATTAAAGAGTGGACAGGTGGTTCCAGGCTACGGTAACACTGTTCTTCGTAAGATTGATCCACGCTTCGCCTGCCAGATGGAGTTCGCACAGAAACATTTGCCCATCGACCCACTTTTCAGGCTGGTGTCGCAGGTGTACAAAGTGGTTCCTCCCATTCTCATGGAGACAGGCAAAGTCAAGAATCCGTGGCCCAATGTGGACGCTCACTCCGGTGTACATCTTCAGTATTACGGTCTGAAGGAGATGAACTTCTACACAGTCTTGTTTGGTGTATCTCGTGCCTTGGGAGTGCTGGAATCTCTGGTATGGACAGGGCTTGTGGCCTCCCTATTGAACGGCCCAAGTCACTGTCAACTGAGGAACTGATGAAAAACATCAAGGCTTAGAGACTTGCGCAGTGAAAGTTCGCAGAAAACCAAGAGACACAAGGCATGTTTAGTGGCCGAAATTCTTGATGGAACAGAAGTCTTAAGAGCCTAATGGTAAGTGTATGTACCACATACTTTAGTAATCAGTAACACTTTGTTATGTATTTGTGGGTTTCGCATGATTTTCAGGGTAAACAGCGATCATTTTCTTAGAGCATTAATCGGTTGATCTTTGTAATGGTGAAGTGTACTGATTTCTTTGCGGTACGGATTGAATTCTTATATAATATTTAGACGAGCTTCGCCCCTACGCAGTTGAGCTTTGGCTTCGAGAGCGTACAGACGTGTTACGTGTATCGGCTTTGTACTGTGACTTTCTAAGAAATGTGGCCTGCTTAAGTAGAACTGTACAATTGGTAATTGACGTCGATTGTTAAGTGAAAGCGAGTGGACATTGTGTGGCGACAATGGGGCGGTAAGAACTGATTACCAGCTCAGCAGTGACTTGTGCGATCGAGAAATCATCGAGAAACCGTGCGGGATCTGTGTAAAGTCAAAGCTGTGGAGTAGAAAAGATCACCAGCATACACCGTGCCCACCCAGCGGTCACCCTCAGTCAAAATCTAACGGTGTCAACATAAGCTAAGCGCCACCGCAGAAGCAAGTTTGGCGGGCTGGTGCCCTCCCACACCTGGGAATACGAACCTCAGTTAAATGCAGGGAAAAACATTAGGGGCTTACAACTCCTGACAGGTGAATCAGGATGGTGAGACCAAAGGTTGTTCAACTTAACCTCAGGCCGAAGAACTAAAACAAAAGTGACATCTAAAACGGACAAAGACAAACTAACCCACGAAACTGAAAAAGCAGGCAAAACATACACTTCGGTCCCCATTAAGTACTGACTTCGAAAGTTCGTTGTCAGGAATTTCAGACTCAGAAATAACGTCTATTTGGCAACAGGGTCAAATCCTTTCACCCACTGACCCCTCAGAACACAAAGAAGGAGCGAGAGCTTCGGCAACTTCGCCAGTGGCATGCCCTTCTGGCACAAACAGAGGTTCACTGCACCCAGGGTGGTACTAAAACTGACTGGATTAGTGCGCAGAAACCGATTGAATCTGCAACAGCATCCTCTGACCTGTTGAATCATGACGAAATTTTGGAGGGAGATGACTTCACTGTCATTACCTCCAAAAAGAAACAAAAACTTGCAACTCCTAAGCCCACAATAATTGAAGACGCAATTCACACTGCTTTACCTTGCTCTCCCACCCCTGAGACCCGTGATTCTGGGAAGAGAGGACACAACAATAACCAAAACCTATACGCCCCACGAGCAAAACTCCCACAGGTAGTCATTCACCACCACTATGACCTGGACTAGGCCACTGAACTTTGTCAGGTCGAAAGTAAGGCAGCCTCCTCCACCACACCAATACAGCTTCAGTCAACCACTTGAACTTTATTCTAAATATAATTTCATACAGCCGCACATCATACAGCAACCCGCCAGGCCAGACCCCCGGCTTGCACATAGTGCTAACTGCAACATAAACCACCCCACAGGCTACAGCGAGCAAGCCTCCGAATTCTGTAACCGGCATTTCTTCGCCGGTTCCGGACAGAGCAGTCTCTCCCGCTCTCTCTGTAGTAACGGAGGACGTCGCATATGCCGAATCTTCTTTCGGCCAAAAATAACGGCCCTTAGGTCCCAAGATCAACGCAACCATGGGGATTAACACCACCCTCAAAACGCATAGCACAGAACACCTCTGCGAGGGAGAAGAAGAATACGCGTCTCAGAGAGACACACACACATTGCACGAACGCACACATCAATACCCACACCCTCCACCTGGTCTGAGACTCGGAAACTCTCATACCCAGCAGCAGACAAGAGAATTTGTTGAAATTGTTCGGACTTTCAATCCGAAATTCTCATTCCAGTATCTTCTGAATTCCATCTCAGGAATGCTCCTGCAATTCATGCGGCACCCATATGACAGCGCCCTCCCAATAATATTCAACAACTCCTCGGTCTCCCAATTCATGGGTAGGTTCCTCAGACACACAGACATCTTGTTCTGGAATGCCAGAGGCGTCCCATCTCTGCTTCACAAAATTTCTGTGGAAACTTATAAGGTGCGAACCGTGCCCCCTCAGTGCGCACGGTGTCAACAGTTTTATCACGTGGAGGCAAACTGTCAGGCACCTCCGGCCTGTGCCCACTGCGCGGTTGTTCATTGCTCGTGGCAATGTGAAAAGAGATTTATCCCAAATTTTGTGCCGACCTGCGCCCTGTGCAAGATCGGGGAGCACGGCTCAAAGTACAGAGGGTGTCCCTTCTTCCGTGACCGCATGGAGAGGGAGACGAAGAACAGACCTCTGCAAGAAAATTCAAAACGAAGTCACGGGTCACAGCCCAACCACAGAGACCGCCCCCTAAAACATTCCGTGACTTCCCCCCCCCCCCCCCCCCGGCGG